TGCCACCTCCACCACCACCGCTGCCTCCTCCACTACCCCGGCCACCCTTGCCCTTGCTGTTGCGGCGCTTCGTACTAGTCGAAGCAGCAGCGACGTCCTCAGGAGCAGAGACGTCTGCAGCAGCAGCAGAGGCAAAGGAGGAGGAAAGGGGGGAGGGGGAGCACCCCTCAAAGAAGGGTGAGCGCGGAGTGCCACGAGCAGCACCTACAGCAACTGCACTAGTCTCAGCTGCGAGGAGATGCTGCTCGAGGAGGTCAACAGTGAGGGAAGTGGGGTCGAGGGTGAGGAAGTGGTCCCTGACAGAGCGAAGGGAGTCAGGGAGGCGAGTGACTATGAAGTAGAGGGTGATGAACATGGGGGGCTGGTTCGTGGGAAGGAACTCAGCAGGGACGGTAGCGCGGTAGCGAGCGTCGCTAGTGCGCAGGTGGGTAACCAGGTCGGCTACTGTGGCAAAAGCCGACAGCTCAGGGAACAGGTAGGGCAGTAGCAGCCTGCCAATAGCAGCAGTGGCAGGGGAGGAGTAGCGAGCAACGACAGCGTCGTACAAGGCCTGTGCTGTCCTGTGCTCGCCAAAGTGAGCACATTCGGTTGCGGGCAAGTGGTTGCGAATGGCCAAGCGGGCAGTAGCGTCACGAGACAGCCACTGGGAACGAGTCGAAACGTCAGCTGTGGTGGGAGGGGCTTGAGCGGCACCGGACACGTGGTCAAACAATGAGACACTGTCCCGACTGTCGCTCAGTAGGTACAGTTGCAGATCGTCGTGCCACGTGTGAAATGCTACAGGTCTGCCTTCCGGGTCGAACGGGAGAACTCGAAGCGACGCCATAGGGGCCTAGGGGCCGCGGGGCCAAAGAAGGGGCCGGGGGGGGGGGGGGGGGGGGGCGAGGGGGGCCGAGGGGCCTAGGGGGCCGAGGGGCCAAACAAGGGGCCGGGGGGGGCTAGGGGGGGCCGAGGGGCCTAGGGGGCCTAGGGGCCAAACAAGGGGCCGGGGGGCCGGGGGGCCGGGCGCCGGGCTATGAGGTGGGGCCGTGGGGCCTAGGGGCCGCGGGGCCAAACAAGGGGCCGAGGGGGCCTATGGGGGCCGAGGGGCCTAGGGGGGCCGAAGGGCCAAACAAGGGGCCGGGGGGCCGAGGGGCCTAGGGGGCCGAGGGGCCAAACAAGGGGTCGAGGGGCCGGGTGCCGGTCTCTGAGGTGGGGCCGAGGGGCCTAGGGGCCGCGGGGCCAAACAAGGGGCCGGGGGGAGCCTAGGGGGGCCGAGGGGCCTAGGGGGCCGAGGGGCCAAAAAAGGGGCCGGGGGGGCCGGGTGTTGGTCTCTGAGGTGGAGCCGAGGGGCCTAGGGGCCGCGGGGCCAAACAAGGGGCCGGGGGGCCTAGGGGGGGCCGAGGGGCCTAGGGGGCCGAGGGGCCAAACAAGGGGCCGGGGGGCCGGGCGCCGGGCTATGAGGTGGGGCCGTGGAGCCTAGGGGCCGCGGGGCCAAACAAGGGGCCGGGGGGGCCTAGGGGGGCCGAGGGGCCTAGGGGGGGCCGAAGGGCCAAACAAGGGGCCGGGGGGCCGGGCGCCGGGCTATGAGGTGGGGCCGAGGGGCCTAGGGGCCGCGGGGCCAAACAAGGGGCTGGGGGGGCCTAGGGGGGCCAAGGGGCCTAGGGGGCTGAGGGGCCAAACAAGGGGCCGGGGGGCCGGGTGCCGGTCTCTGAGGTGGGGCCGAGGGGCCTAGGGGCCGCGGGGCCAAACAAGGGGCCGGGGGGCCGAGGGCCTAGGGGGCCGAGGGGCCAAACAAGGGGCCGGGGGGCCGGGCGCCGGGCTATGAGGTGGGGCCGAGGGGCCTAGGGGCCACGGGGCCAAACAAGGGGCCGGGGGGGGCCTAGGGGGGCCGAGGGGCCTAGGGGGCCGAGGGGCCAAACAAGGGGCCGGGGGGCCGGGCGCCGGGCTCTGAGGTGGGGCCGAGGGGCCTAGGGGCCGCGGGGTCAAACAAGGGGCCGGGGGGGCCTAGGGGGGCCGAGGGGCCAAACAAGAGGCCGGGGGGCCGGGCGCCGGGCTCTGAGGTGGGGCCGAGGGGCCTAGGGGCCGCGGGGCCAAACAAGAGGCCGGGGGGCCTAGGGGGGCCGAGGGGCCTAGGGGGGCCGAGGGGCCAAACAAGGGGCCGGGTGCAGGTCTGGTACGGGGCCGGGCACTGGGCAGGTACGGGGCCGGGCGCTGGGCAGGTACAGGGCCGGGCGCTGGGCAGGTACGGGGCCAGGCGCTGGGCAGGGACGAGGCCAGGCGCTGGGCGCGGAATGGGGCCGGGCGCGGGGCTAGGTACGGGGCCGAGCGCGGGCAAGAGATGGGGTCGGGCGCTGGGCGAAGGACGGGGGGGGCCGGGCGCGAGGCTAGGTACGGAGCCAGGCGCTGGCGACAGACGGGGCCGGGCGCGGGCTAGGTACGGAGCCGGGCGCTGGCTAGGGTCGGGGCCGTGCGCTGGGCTAGGTACGGGCCGGGCGCGGGGCTAGGTACGAACCGAGCGCGGACGAGAGACGAGGCCGTGCGCGGGCAGGGTACGGGCCGGTCGCGAGGCTAGGTACAGGCCGGGCACGGGGCTAGGAACGGGGCCGAGCGCGGGAAGGGTCCGGGCCGATCGCGGGGCGGGTACGGGCCGATCGCGGGGCTAGGAACGGGGTCGTGCGCGAGGCTAGGTACGGGCCGATCGCGGGGCTAGGAACGGGCCGGGCGCGGGCGACGGAATCGACGGGGCGACGGGGCCGAGGGGCCGAGCTAGGGGCGACAGGCCAAGGGGCCGAGCCTAGGGGCAACGGGCCAAGGGGCCGAGCCTAGGGGCTATGGGCGACGCCACGGGGCCTAGGCTAGCAGGTACTTTGGTGGTGGGCCCATTAAAGTTAGGATCCTAGGAAGGTAATGCTCTTAATACCATGTGAGAATAGTGGGCGAGAATGGATGGACTAGGAAAAGGGAAGGGGTACAAGTGGAATGTCGAGAGAAATCTGTACCCCCTAAGGCTAAACCCACTATAGCCTAGACAACAATAAACACATAAACTAAGCCTAGATATAACTAAGCATATATGTTTGACACCTTGCACATACCTTGGAAGGTCCCAACACTTGGTATCTCGACAGTTGTTACGGCCAGCATATGTGTTCATCAGAAAACCGCTTCGTCATCAATCAGCGTCGTCTTCAGAATCCATGCGTTGTAACCGTCGCCAACAATCAACATCTTACAGCACACTGGATGGGTAACATCATTCTTGATTCTGTTGAAGAAGACTTCAGTCTTCATCTTAACGATGTACTCCTCGTTCCTCGACTTGGCTTCAATCTAATGTCATCTGCACAGCTCATGAGGAATGGAATTACTCTTCTTTGCAAACCGGGCAAGTTTACTTTAAAATATGGAGACAGGAAGCTCGGCACGGCAATCGAACAGAACAATGTATTCGTTCTCAACTTCGTACCTGAACGTACCACTGCCGACTCCGACAATATTCTCTCTCTCGGCCCATGCGAAAATCGTGATGACATCGATTACACCGATGATACCGTTCCTCGTGAAGGAGTCGTACCCACGTCTTCAACCACGGCTGCCGCTGTCATGCTGACCTTCGACAATCAAGTCTTGAACGACGTCCAGAACTCCCGAGATTATCTTGCTCACGTTGGTGGTTGGGGAGTGTCAGAACATTATGTTTCTCTAGTCTGCAGTGGGGTACTCTGTATGTTATATGTATCCAACTGCTTTCTCTAGTGAGTACAACCCTGTTAGGGTTTGTTATATGTATCCAACTGCTTTCTAGTTCATCCTTCCTCATTTCTTCTCGAGTCTCACATGGTATCAGAGCAATTTTTTCGATCATTGGGCCCACCACTAAAACTGAAACTGAAACTTTTTCTCCTTACCTGCCTGACGCGCGCGTCGCGCCTGCCCTTCGAGGCCCCCCTTGCGGCCCGTAGTGGCCCCTTCACGGCCCGTAGAGGCCCCTTTCGCGGCCCGTTTGGCCCCTTCACGGCCCGTAGAGGCCCCTTTCGTGGCCCGTTAGGCACCTTCGCGGCCCGTTAGGCCCTGTCGCGGCCCCTTTCGCGGCCCGTTAGGCCCGTCGTGGCCCCCTTTCGCGGCCCGTTAGGCCCCCGTCGCGGCCCGTTAGGCCCCCGTCGCGGCCCCTTCGCGGCCAGTTAGGCCACTTCGCGGCCCCCGTTACGACCTGTAGCGGCCCCTTCGCGGCCTGTTAGGCCCGTCGCGGCCCCTTCGCGGCCCGTCCCGGACCTGCCCCGACCCCGGCCCTGCCCCGACCCTGTCGCAGCCCCTCGTTGCGGCCCACCATCGCGGCCCCCTGTCGCAGGCCCCCGTCGCGGTCCCCCCCCCCCCCGTATCGGCCCCGTCCCGGCCCTGTCCCGGACCTGCCCCGACCCCGGCCCTGCCCCGACCCTGTCGCGACCCGTTAGGTCTGTCGCGGCCCCCCCTTCACGGCCCGCCCCGGCCCTTCCTCGGCCCCGTCCCGGCCCTGTCCCGGACCTGCCCCGACCCAGGCCCCGCCCTCATTCCGGTCGTGGCGCACCAGGGGCCCGTGCACCGCCCCCCCCCTCCTTTTCCCGTCGCCTTACGTGGCGACCCGGGGGGGGAGGGGCCGCTGGGGGGGCGCGCGTCGCCCCTTCTTCCGCCTGCTCTGGCGCCCTGGGAGGCCGCGCGTCGGCCCCCGTACTCCTCCCCCCCCCCCCCCCTCAGGTCGCCTCACCAGGCGACGGGAGGGGCGACCAGGTGGGGGGGGCCACGCGTCGGAGCAGCCGCCCCTCGTACAGCCGCCCCTGGAGCAGCCGCCCCTGGTGCAGCCGCCCCTGGTGCAGCCGCCCCTGGAGCAGCCGCCCCTGGTGCAGCAGCCCCTGGAGCAGCCGCCCCTGGTGCAGCCGCCCCTGGTGCAGCCGCCCCTGGAGCAGCCGCCCCTGGTGCAGCCGCCCCTGGAGCAGCCGCCCCTGGTGCAGCCGCTCCTTGACCTCAGCAGCCGCCCCTGGCCCATGGCCCCTGGAGCAGCCGCCCCCCCCCCCTTCCATGGGGATGGCGGGGAGAAGGGGGGGAAGCTTGGAGGTCCAGGGGGAGGCAGGAGGGGATCTGCAGCCCCAGGTCCCCCACCCTTCTCCTACCCCCCCCTGCTGCGGGTACAGCAGTGGGGGGGAGGGGATTTGCCATCCCCCTGCTGCGGTTGCGGCAGTGGGGGGAGGGGACCTGCAGCACCAGCCCCCCCCCCCCCCCCCCCCCCCCTCCTCTCCGCCCTTTCCTCCTCTCCCTCCCCCTGCTGCGGGTGCAGCAGTGGGGGGGAGGGGATCTGCCATCCCCCTGGTTCGGATGCGGCAGTGGGGGGAGGGGACCTGCAGCACCTGCCTGCCCCCCCCCCCCCCCCGCCTCCCCCCCCCCCCCCCTCCCCCCATCTCTCTGCTGCGGGTGCAGCAGTGGGGGAGGGTATGGGGGTGGCGGGTGTGGCCAACCCGCCGGCCCTGCTGCGCCCCGCGCGCCCTGCTGCCCTGTGCGCCCCGTGCGCCCTGCTGCCCTGCTGCCCTGTGCGCCCCGCGCGCCCTGCAGCCCTGTGCGCCCCGTGCGCCCTGCTGCCCTGCTGCCCTGTGCGCCCCGTGCGCCCTGCTGCCCTCTGCACGCGCCATGCACAGCACCCCCCCCCCCCCCCCCCCCCCCCCCCTTCTCCTCCATCCCCTGCTGCAGGTGCAGCAGTGGGGGAGGGTATGGGGGTGACAGGTGTGGGGCATCCCCTGCTCCTCCTCCTACTCCGTCTCCCACTGCTGCAGCTGCCGCTGAGGGGGGTGGGTGTGTGTGAGTCGACAGAGTGGTGCTAGGGGGTGGAGTGTGAGTGAACCTAGGGGTGCAGCAGGGGGTGTGTGAATGGGGGGTGCGGCAGTAGAGGGAGGTTGGGTGGAGGTAGCCGTCGAGTTGCTAGCAGTGCCAGTAGTCCGGAGGTGCGCTTCCGGTAGCCCAGTGATGCCGCTGCGCCAGTCACCCGTGGGTCCGTTGCTCCTGCCGCTCGTCTTAGCCGCGGAGCCAGTTACTCCTGTAGTCCGGAGGTGCGCCTCCGGTAGCCACAGTGCGAGCCGCTCCTGTTGCCCGTGTGTCTGCAGCTTCCGCCGTTGCCTCCTCTCTCCTCTCCTATTAGTCCAGCCTCCTCCTCCTCACTTGCCCTCTGTGATAGTGCCCCGCCTCTCGCTCGAAGACGTGAAGCGAGCGATCCTTCAAGAGGATTTCCGTCGCCGTGAGTTGGCGAGTGCGGATGGCGCCGGGGCAGCAAGCATCGGCCGTGGATATGGCCGTGGAAGGGGCAGAGGACAAGGAGGAGGAAGGTTTGGAGGCAGCAACTTCAACGGAGGCCGCGGGAGTAGCGGATACGGCAATGACAACAAGAACAACGGACGCGGTTGCGGACGGTTCGACGGCGAGTGTCATTTTTGCCACAAGAGCGGACACATGTGGCGCGATTGCTACAAACTCCCTGATGGATGGACTCCTGCTCAAGGCCAAGAGGGTAGAGGAGCAGGAGGAGGGAGAGGAAGAGGCCGTGGAGGCCGTGGCGGTCGCGGAGGTGGAGCTGCAAGTATGAAGAGTGCCGGCAACGAGAGCTAGTCGAGGGACGATCGCTTCCCGGGTCAATTCTTCTTCGTGTCCACGCAAGCACCGGCTAGTCCAGAGAATGATGAAAGCTTTGAGGAGCCAGCAGCTGTGGGGAAGGTCACCCTACACTCCCTGGACTATTGGGTGATCGATAGCGGCGCTACCTATAGCATGACACCTCGTGCGGACTTGCTCACCGAACTTGAGCCGTCACCGGTGAAGCATGTGACATCGGCTTTGGGGCAGCGAGCAGAGGTGAAAGGCATGGGCAAGGCCATGTTCAAGGGTGCTGATGGGAAGATGGTGGGCCTCAAGAACGTGCTTTGGGTGCCCAACCTTGCTGCGAACCTGATTTCCGTGCGGCGGTTGCAAAAGGCCGGCATGGACACGAGCTCGAAGGGAGCTAAGACCTACACCGCGAGGCTTGGCGAGCGGATTCTTTGGGACCTTCACGAGGATAGGGATGTCTACAACGAGATGTGGCAGATCCCTGTGGTACCCATGCCTAAGGAGAGGCAAGTGGAAGCAAGCATCAGCACCAAAGGTGAAGCGGTTGGTAGCGGCGATGGCGCGAATGGTCGCGCTAAGGAGATGAAGTCCAAGAAGTGCAATCTTGGAGGGACCAGCAAGCTCAGTGAACACGAGGAGAGTGGTGCAGCAGCTCAGAAGCAGCACAAGGGTGAGGAGAACCCCAAGGCAGCAGCGGAGGAGGAGTATGGAGAGAACATGTGGGGCACTATTGCGAGTGCGGCATTCTCCAATCCGACTTCGGCTACGGGGGAGTGTGATTGGCTCACCTTGCATCGGCGAATGGGGCATGTGGCCCTGCCCATCTTGCAGCAGCTAGTGAAGAATGAGATGGTTGCTGGCATACGTGTGAAAGGGGAGCCCGATGAGGTACTTGGCTGCCCGACATGCATGCAAGCCAAGTTCACCCGTTACCCGTTCTCTAGTTCGGAGGCAACGGCTAAGGCACCACTTGATGAGGTGGTGATGGACGTGGTGGGCCCCCTGAAGCTTGGAGCTGCTGGAGCTGAGTACTTTCTCACCATAGTGGATGTCTACACTCGCATGACCTGGGTGTACGTGCTGTCCAAGAAGAGCGACGTGGCTGAAACGGTGAAGACCGATTGGTTGCCGATGGTGGAGCGGCAACAAGACCGGCTAGTGAAGGCAATTTGCACCGATCGAGGGGGAGAGTTCCTGAGCAAGGAGTTCTCATTGTGGCTGAAGAAGAATGGCATAAGGCACTCCCTTACCATGCCATACTCCCCTGCAATGAACGGCATCGCCGGGCGAGCGAACCGGACAATCACGGAGACGGCGCGTGGGTTGCTCATTGAAGCCGGGCTACCCGAATATTTCTGGCCTGATGCGGTGCGGAGTGCGTGTGTGGCCAAGAACAGAGCTTTGACTCATGTGGGAGCAGACAAATGGGTGCCCTATGTGGAGTGGATTGGAAGGAAGCCAAAGGTGGATATGCTTCGGGTGTTCGGGTGCATGTGCATGGCGCTCGTGCCTAAGCATCTTCGGCACAACAAGCTCGGTGCCAAGGCGATATGGGCTGTGCACTTGGGCATGGCTCAAAACAGCAAGGGGTGGCTTCTTTGGGACCCATTCACCAAGAAATTCTTGGTGAGCAGGGACTGCAAATTCATGGAGAATCTGATGTACAAGGATTGGAAGGCGGAGAATGAGGCGAAGATAGGCATGCGGTTTGGGGAGGTGAAGAGTTCCGGTTTGGAGCATGTGGAGCTGCCCTTGGAGCTGAGAAGCGGCAGCACCACCACAAAGCAATCTTCCCTTGTGAATGGGGGAGAGGAGGCCAAGGATGCAGAGGAAGAAGAGGAGGAGGTGCAGCAAGTGAGCGAGCGTGCACCGACACTTCCTTCTCGCACTACGAGTGCTCCACGGATCCGAGTCACCCCGCAGCAACGCCAAGGCCTTCATGTCCATGCAGCTGAGGAAGAAGGAAGGGGCAAGAGGAGAATTCAAGCCCCTAATAGGCTGACCTATGATGCACTGGGAAAGCCAGCCAAGTCAGCCTTGGCCGGAGCGGCACTTATAGTTGGAGATGACAAAGAGAGTGACTACGAGGAGTGTGCCTTCGCGTTCTTCTCTCCGGTGGAGATGCCGGGGGAACCAGCAACTCTCAAGGAGGCCTTGGAGAGTAGTGATGCTGAGGAGTGGAAGAAGGCAATGGAGAGTGAGCTGAAGAGCATTGAGGAGAACGGCACGTGGGAATTGGTGGAGTTACCGGAGGGGCGTAAGGCGATTACGTCCAAGTGGCTCTTCAAGATCAAGTCCGACGCCGACGGCAAGATCGAGCGCTACAAGTCTAGGCTTGTGGCGAAGGGGTACCAGCAGAAGGAGAAGGTGGACTATAAGGAGTTGTTTGCTCCTGTGGTGAAGCCGACGACGCTGAGAACCCTACTCGCGGGAGCTGCCATCAAAGGATGGGTGGTGAAACAAATGGATGTCACAACGGCATTCCTCAACGGCGTCCTTGAGGAAGAGATTTTTATGGCGCAGCCAGAGGGGTTTGATGATGGTAGTGGCAGAGTTTTGAAGCTGAAGAAGGCCCTTTATGGACTGAAGCAGACCCCTAGGCAGTGGTACTTGAAGCTGCGAGGAGTTTTGGAGGAGATAGGCTTCACTCCTTCATCCGCCGATCATTCCTTGTTCATGCTTGGCGAGGGGGAGCAGAGGAGTTTCATGGTGGTTTATGTGGATGACATCCTCATTTTCTCACCCTATTCTGACCTTGTGAAGGAGGTGATGCTGAAGCTTCAAGACAAGTTCAAGTGCAAGGCCCTTGGTGACGTGAGCTTCTACCTTGGGCTCCACATCGAACGAGATGTGGAGAAGCGGTGCATGCGGGTGCATCAACGAAAGTACCTGGAGGCATTGGCTGCCAATTTTGGGCAGAGTGAAGGCCATGTGGCTACACCCTTTCCCTCTGGGTTCAAGTGTGTGAAGGGACCAGAGGAGGAGAGCGTTGGTGAAGAGGAGAGGCGCTGTTTTCACTCGTTGGTGGGCAGCCTCATGTATGCGGCGGTAAACACGCGACCGGACGTCGCGTTTGCTACCGGACAGTTGGCTAGGGTTGTTCAATGCCCTAATGAGGAGCAGGTAGCAGCTGGAATGAGGGTGGCCAAGTATCTTGGCCAAACACCGACCGTTGGGCTGCAATACTCGGCGGCGGCGCAAAGGCGCCAAAAGGGCGCGGATGGTGTTGAACCCGGGCGTTTGTTCCTCACCGCATTCTCGGATGCTTCTTATGCATCGGAACCAGAGGATATGACAAGTGTTGGAGGGTTCATTTGCTGTGTTGGTGGAGGCCCAACTGCTTGGGAGAGCAAGAAGCAGGTGGATCAAGCATTGAGCTCGGTGGAGTCCGAGTACATGGCACTCTTCCGTGCCGTACGCGAGATTGTGTGGCAGCGGCGTTTGTTGGCTGAATTGGGGGAGGAGCAGCAAGGACCTACCCCACTCTACTGTGACAGCCAGGGTGCCATTGCTCTTGCTAAGAACCCTGTGTTGCATGGCCTCACCAAGCACATGAGGGTGAAGTGGCATTGGACGAGGAGCATGGTGGCCGCGGGTGAAGTTGAGTTGCACTATGTGAAGACGACAAGGCAGCCAGCTGACATGATGACCAAGAGGCTGGTGGAGCAGCAGCATTGGAAGTGTTGCAAGCTGGCTGGGATGGCTCTGAACTGAGAGAGCAAGATCCTAAGGCCAACAATCCGAGGGGGAGTTTGTTGGTGCAACCCTACGGTTTGCATTCGGCTTGTTGTCCGTGTGCGTGCATGCGTGTGTGCATGGAATGATATGAGGGCATGAAATAATATATATTTTATGCTTACAATAGTGTGTGAATGATGAGGCATGATTTTTGAATGTGTGTGTCGAGTCAATAGCTAGTTATCGCTAGTCGCGTGTCACGTCGTCGTTTGCGTGTCGTGTGCGGTTTTCTATTTTGTCGTGTGTGGAACGTTCGGCGTGTCGCAGGTGTACGCAGCAGACTTCCAAGAACTCAAGGAAGAATTTACCTTGAAGAACCAGAGCCTTGGTTTCAAGAATCAAGTGATTTCGAAGCTCTTCAAAAGGGTAAACTTTAAGATAGTGAG